CAGTTTTCATAAGAATGACTGTATTCTATACGATTTTGATTTAATTCCTGAATACTCAAAAGAGTCTAACATTGAAATAAATCCAATTGACAATACACCTATTACATCAATAAATGACAACATAAGTGTAAATGATGATAATTTACTATCTAGTGTTACACCATCACCAGATTCATCTGATATCGAAGATACCCTGAGTGATACTTTGAAAAATTTTAATGACACTGAAATTTACATTGATTCTCAGAATAATGATGACTCTGAAGAAATGTTATCTGCTAGCTCTGAAGTCGAAAATATTATTGAACTTGGCAATGTAAATGACAATATTGAATTTTCTGTTCATAGTGATAGTAGCCCTAACTTGATTGAAAATCATCTAATCCCAAATAGTTCCAAACGTAAACACAAACCACCTAGATATTTGAAAGATTTTGTCTGTAACCCTTATTCTTCAACAAATTCAACTGATAGTGACTGAACTGTAACATGTATTTTCATTGCTTATTAATTGTACGAGGTAGGTTTTTTTTAAGAAATTTTAAAAATTATATAAAAAAAAAAGGAAACGTGTTGTATCATGTGATTATGTACTGAGTTCTATGTCATTATTTGTATTATGTATTGGTCTATGTTCTGTGTATAATTACGATTGACAATGACAGCGACGGCACTTGCCACTTTCGTCACTTTCCGCTCGACAACTTAACATGTACGACGTATGTATTTTTAACATAAGATTTTATCATTAAACATCCAAGTTGAAAAGATGTGTTTATGAATTATAAGAACCCGCAAATATAACACATTATAAGTAAGTGATTAACTTCTGTGGTAATGTAGTCTTGGTATTAACTAAAAATGGTTTCATATTCGAAATGTTCCATTATCAGCAAAAGTGAGATGTATCGGAAATGTTTCAAAAAAGTCATGTTGGAAATGTTGCAAATAGTGCAATAAGGAAATGTTTCGAATACACTATTTGTGAAACGTTTCATGAAATGCAATAGTGAAATATCTCAGAGATGTTTATGTATACTCTTTATTGAATGTTTCGTGGAGATTTGGGTTGAAACATTCCAATGAAACATTACACACCCTAGGTCATTTATGGTCTCTAGAATGTCTCATAAATGTTTCGGAGTATATAGGTGAAATGTTTCATATTTCACAAAGTTTGTTTCAGGAACGTTTCAGAAACACAAAATGGTTTACTGGGATTATTAAATGCGCCACTCAGATAATTGAAAATTTTAGTATGAATCAAAGGTATGAATAAGAAAGAATTTTTTATAGTGAATGATAAATTCATCTTTATCATACAGGTACTGAAAAGAAACTCTTTTTCAAGAAAGAATTTAGACATGCACCATGCACAGTCAAAACAAGCGGTTGCCAGCACCTGGAATATTTGTTGCACCCTGTCTCGCTGTCTTCTAGACGTTTCTCAACGTGTCGATTGGTCTATGCGGTCTATGGTTCCACATGACAATGTTTTGAAATAGCTACTGGCTAATCGACAAATGTCTCCCTGGATCTAGTGAACTTACTTCTTCAATCTCATAATAATATAAGATCACAGCACGATATTACAGATAGAAAGAAATTAAAAAGCAAATAACCAAAAAGGCAAAAAACCAAATGGTTATAAAGTTTGAAATTATAAATACAGATTCTTTATTGCTGTGATCTATACAGATCAAAATCAGCAAAGAACGGAATAAAATTCACTAAATTATTGTAGATAAAGAAAAATGAGGATATTCAGTAGTTTATTAGTGGCTAGAAGCAACCCCAAGGAACCAGTACCAGTCAAACCAGCTCGACCTTTGAAATTGGGTGCCTCTGTATCTGGGAAAGGAAACAAAAGTTCGGAAGTCTGCTGCATTTATGAGATGTCACTTATGTTTTCCTGCTTCAAAGACAATGAGTTTAATCAATCATTTTGTTCAAAGGAAATTGAATCTTTCCAAAAGTGCTATGTGAATCATTTAAACTCCAAAAGAATAAGAGAGGAAAAGGAATCAAAGGGAGTATTGATACCTGGAGAGAAAAAACTCTCTCATAAACAACTCAATCTATTATTGAGTAAATTTCCCAATATCAAGTAGTTTGAATGTCACTTTATAGTAGTTTTATTATTAGGCCAAATATTAGGTGATTAATAAATTCATTTCTATGCTCAAAATGTTATTGAAAATCCTTTTATTTACAACCAATATGTAATGTTGTCATTACTAATGTTATTGAAGGTTGGGAAGTGTCACATCCATGTCCTCACTAATTCCAGTTTCAGTTCCAGCAGTTCCAGCCCTCCCTTTTATGTCATATTTTAGGTATGTTCAGAAAGGAACAGGTTCATTGATTTTGTTCATATTATGGTTGTGGATAAAATAGTATATAAACCTAGGTAGGATTTTTAATTCCTGTCTGGAGAACATAGCTAACCTCCACTCTTGGCATCTTTTATACTATTTACCCTTGAACAGTCATGAAACTGAATAGGCCTTTTCATATAGATATATTTTTAAGACACATGTGCTCGTTTTCAGATCCAAAATTTGATTGAAAATACTTTTATTGAGGTTCTGTCGAATGTCAACAGTGTCAACCACCATGGGCATTCATCATTGAGAAACAACAATAATACAATATAGTGTTTTCCTTTCTATATTCCTGGTGAGTATTAATTGTATTATATTAAGTTAAAGTGAAAAACCATTACTTATTCATTACTGAGGAGTGTGGTGCAGGTGTTTTGGTGAAAATGGCCGCCACTGTCCTTGGATGTGAGATGTAAACACAGATAGTCATGTGTCATCTTAATGAAAAGGCCTATTGTTTCTTGGTTTTTTACCTTGTTGGTCATAATTGAGATGTTTATAATTCGTCATAATGGTTGTCTCTTGCCTTAACATCAATAATAAATCCTTATTTTCCCTTAGATTCAATTTTAATATGAAAATGAGCCCTAGTTATTATCAACTTCCCTATAAGTAATCAAAACCAATAGTTTTGGAAATGTTCCATAAAAATAGTCCTTCACTTCTGCATAATTGACTGAAATTTTGTATTTTTCTTGGCTGTGCAAAATATCAATCAAGGAATGAATTAATATTTAGGTATATTCTATATTATTCCAGATATTATTATTCAAGAAAAACAGTTGCTTACTGTCAGATAAATGGACCTATCCTTTGTCAGATCTATCATTTGCAAAAGTCCCATATATGACAAAATGTAATACAATTTTCATAAGAACAATAATAAATGCTATTTTCATGGAAACAACACATAACAATATAATTTTGATTCAGTTGTTGATGGATATATTCTGCACAGTCTACTAGAGAAATCCAAAATTATGCAGAATTGAGTAGGTACCAACATTTATGGAATATCTGCAAAATTATGCAGATTTTATTAGGGGTTTTAGTGGTCTCCATTTGGAAAAATTGCGATTTTCAATTCTTCACCTTCACTTTCTACACACCCTTTAATTATTCAGTAAGTAAACTGCCGACCTGATCGAGTGATCGGCAGCTTACTTGATCTATGCTTGATATTTAGCCGTCATTGTCCAGTGATCCATTGAACCACCAATATTCAAGTTTCAATCACTATATGTATTCATTTTTATGTTCCATAGGCTATATTTGTCACTTTTTATAGTAATACTCAAATAACTCAAAAACGGTTCAATTCAGATGAATTTGATTATGATTCATGAATCATGAATCTTATATAATACCTCAACACAGAATCATGAGAGGAATTCAAAAATCTTGTAAACTATACAGGGTACAATAATTAAGTACCTATATATATTGAAAACAACAAAGACTATGTTATTTCTGGAAAAACCAGGAGCTTCACAATAACGAAAATATTTCAGTTGGTTTTTCCATGTTTTCTTCACCGTCTTCACGAATTTTCGGATTTCAGAAGATATTCCCTGTGTATCCACCTTATAGAGGACACATCAGTTATACAGGGTGATCCACGGTGGATGGCCTATTAGAAGTATCTGGAGAATGAAAAGACAGAACATTCTGAAAATTCGCATGCTTTCCATCTAAAATATTTTCATCGATACAGTGTTGCCACTTCTATCAGAAAAACAAACAACTTTGTTATTTCAAATGGAACACCCTGTATTTTATTGCATTTTTAGATTCTTCCTGAAGAGCTGATTTCACGAATGTATCACACTTGGGGTCTAGCAGGAGTGATTACAGAGATATAGGGTGTTCAAAATCAAGATTTTTCAATTTTAGGATTTTTTGTGTGGAAACTATTTATTATGGATCAAAACGGCTTACATGTCCCTATCTCAACTTTTGATTCACTATCTACTGGAATTTAATTGGAAAAAATACAGGGTGCTTCAAGATTCAGAATTCTGATCACTCTGTATCTGTTCCAATTAAATGTCAGTAGATATAGTGTATCGAAAGTTAAGAGAGGGACATGTAAGCCGTTTTGATCGATAATGAATAGTTTCGACACAAAAAAATCCTAAAATTGAAAAATCTCGATATTAATTAAACACCCTATATCTCTGTAATTATTCCTGCTAGACCCCAAGTGTGATGCATTGATGAAATCAGCTCTTTAGGAAGAATATAAAAATGCAATGAAATACAGGGTGCTCCATTTAGAATAACGAAGTTGCTAGTTGTTTCTAATAGAAGTGGCATCACTGTATCAATGAAAATATTTTAGACGGATAGAGAATGTTCAATTATCAAAGCATCCCAGTTTTCAGAATGTTCTGTCTTTTTGTTCTCCAGATACTTCTAATAGGCCATCCACCGGGCCGTGGATCACCCTGTAGGTATAGTGTTGAAGGTATATTAAGTAAGCAATTTTCATTGATACCTTTTTATTTCCATGATAAGATCATTATGACCATAAAATAATGAGGTACAATATATTATACATATTTTAGCTAGGTATAGTTATAGGATGCATGACATACATCATTAATGGTTGACAAATCAGCAGTCGCTCTCAGCGGGTAATACACAAACTTGTGATCTGGTATCGTAATATTTACCATCTTTGCAAGTACGTAGTTCACTATAATAACTGTATCCAAAAAACAGATTCCTCTTAGACAAACACTCATAATACTGGGTGCATTTAGCGGCAGGCCAGAATCCAGTTTTTTTGCATTCTGGGGCAGTTGATGGTCTTGGAGCTGAAAAATGTAATAAATTACGTTTTCGTGCAATCGTACGTGAAGAGAGTACTTCGCGAAGTACAACTTCACAGCCGTTCATAGCAATCATTCAGAGTCAGATCATATTATCGTTTTGTCAAGAACTGTCTATAGTTATTTTCGTATCCAAAGCGCGAAATGCTACTTTGGTGATCGAGTTAAAAAAATTAGTCGAGATGCAAACAATAATTTTTCTACAAACTTCAAAAAACATAGTTCCGAAGTGAAAATATGCTTAGCTTAATATAAAAAATAGTGTTGAACTGGCTTCGGAAGATGACGAAAAAAACCCTCTAATACCGCTCAAAATTATTCTGCTCCACTGTTCCAGAATGAAGACCCGTTGTGAAACCAAATTCTAAAGTAGTTATACAGGGTGTTCGGAAAGGTCATTTCGTAAATGATATATATATATATATATATATGAGGTGATATATCATTTACGATATCCTTATCATTTACGATATATGACCATTCCGGACACCCTGTATATTCAGTTATGACATCCGTTCTGATCACTATCGATAGCCAATATAGCCATGATGGGTATAATTCAGAGACATAATAAATTTGTCGGTCACCGACGAAAGCGAATAATATTTCTAAGGTGAATCCTGACATACGCACTGCTATACCGGGTGACACAGGGTATCGGGCCACCCCTGTGGGGTATGCATTCGTCAACGGATTTTTCTGAAATTCGGTACAGTTATATAAGCAATCATTTCGGATTTGATCACATTACAATCCAATATGGCGGACTTCCGGTATTTCTGGAAATGCCAGCAACTTTGTTTTTTCAAATGAAACACCCTGTATATTTTTACATATTCAAGTTCAACAGGTTGAAACAAGTGCAATCCTTATTTCAAATGTCATTTTCTCGAAAAAATTTAAAATAAAATTGTTTTTTCATTTAACCTCGTGGATAAATGAGATGTGGTCAAAACTATTCACAATGACTCACACATAACAGAAGAACATAATTTTTTCTGAAAAATTATTTTTTGTGTCACTTATCTAGGAATCAATTCAGCCACATCCCTTTTCGATCAAAAATTATTTTTTTTCAAATGGAACCCCTATGGGCCACCTACCCGTCTCTCTAGACCATACATTAAGGAACAAAATGACATATCATTTTTGTTTTTCGGTGCAGTAACAAATTGTATTCATTCAAAAATCAACAACTAGTTTATGAATTTCCTTGCAGTTAGAATAATTTTTCAACTAGGTAGGCTGTGGAATAAATGACATTTGACATCAAGATTGCACTTGTTTTGACCTGTTGAACTTGAATATGTAAAAATATACAGGGTGTTCCATTTGAAAAAACAAAATTGCTGTCATTTCCAGAAAAACCGGAAGTCCGCCATATTGGATTGTAATGTGATCAAATCCGAAATAGTTGCTTATATAACTGTACAGAATTTCAGAAAAATCCGTTGACGAATGCAGAAGTTACAGGGGTGGCCCGATAACCTGTGTCACCCGGTATACTACAGATACTCCGGAAAACAGTAAAAAAATCATTGCAAATCATGAAAAATCTTACCTTTTTTAGTTGTTGAAGTGACCTCAGTTACCACATCTATAACAAAACAAAATCTCATTTTTTTAGGCATCAGAATTCGTTGCTACAACTTTGAAAACAATTATTTAATTCCACATTTTATGGACTCCATATATCTTCACTGTATTTGGAGTTGAAAACCTATCAGTTAAAAAATGTTTATTAAAACAATAAAACAATGAAATAGGTTCCCTCATCTGAATTTTAATGACAAATGTTGCATTTCACGCGTAATGAAAATCCATTCAAAAATATTTTGAAAAAATCACGAGATTGTACTATTGTCAATTTTTTTGAAAATCTGTATCTCAGGTCCAATTCCTCATACCTGTTTGTGAAGTTGTACTGCCTGTCCTCTTTGAACTATGTGTCGTTGTTTCTGTAAAAAAGAATTATATTAATCGACATGCAAATTTCCGATAAAATGTATTAAGACTGTGGAACATATAAATGATCATCCATATAGGTACCTATAGTAGGTCTCAATAATGCAATTTTCACCATAGATAATTACCAGCACTTGTTGTTGTTTTTGTTGTTGAATCACTGTCCTTTTCTTTAGTGCACCTGTGAAGAATTCAGAATATTCATCAGTAGGTACATACATTTCCAAAGGGTTATTGATATATGTTTGGCCCGGTGTTTAAAAGTATAGGTACAGCTTTCGCCCGATAAAAAGTAACAGCTCCTCGATCAAAAGTACCTATATTCTTCAACAAGCAGAGCTTACAAATATCACTCTGAATTTTAACTCGATCAAAAGTCGATCGTTGCCTACTTTTATTGACCAGAGCCCTGATGTACACACAGTATATATATACCGCATACCGCATAATTTTTAGTGCCCACTCAGATGCTGAAATAGTTTATGATTGAAAATAAAATTGTATTTTTATAAAGATATCGTTAAAAATTGAATGGGCTCAATAAATTTGGAAATCTGTTATTGTATGTACGACTTTATTGGTATAGAGGTAGACGTCAATTATTATCAAGTTGTGTAATTTTGAACAGAAATGGAAAAAAGTGTTCAGTATAATCAGCATGATGGGTTTTCTCCATAAATATTATTTTTCTCTTTTTCGACGAATAATTCGAGTCAATATAAATTGCTAAGACATAGCTAAAACAAGATTGAAACATGATCAAACCACTTTGTACAATACATATTATATGGTTGAATTCAGAATTAAAAATTGATTCAGAATCAGAAAATACTCAATCAGGTCCGTATTTAAGAAAACAATAAATTGATGATAATTCTACGACTACGAAACGTCCTATAGAGTAATCAATATCCATCATCATCAAAAGTTGGTATACAGGGTGTTGCACAGGTAAAGAGAAATATTTCAATGGTAGATAGGGGTCACCAAGGTGGTTCTGAAAATACCATATTTAATGAGTCTTACAGTCTTTATAAAAGAGATTTATCGACATCGAATAATTATTCACTCGTTCATATATAAGTATTAAACTACCCAGTATATTTTTTTCTAATTTGGTATGTAGCTTCAACTCAGGACCTTGAATTTATTGACCTATCAGGTGGAATGGAAATCCAGGCTCGACTTCAGGAAAAATTTACATTTATTTTGCAATATAAAAAAACACACTGTATTTAATTATTAACAAAGTTTATCAAAACAAACGTGAAGAGGAGAAAAAACTAACTTGGTTTTGATACTTTTTGTTTTCTCGCCACCAATTCTCATTGTAACAATCATAAACAGAAAGTTGAAAGCATGTAAGTTTTAAACATAATCATTTGATATCCACTAGTTGAATAATCGCTCAAAAAAACTTTCTTAGATTAGATACTTCTCGTATTTACTGCTACCAATTCTAATGGTAACATTTTGAAGCAGAATAATGAAATTATGTTAATTTGAAAGAATAAAAATTATGAATAAATGCTAGTGCGTAAGATATTTTCTGTTGTTTGTTAGTCTCGCAAAACTATTACGAATATTGAATTATATATATTAAACACACACACACGAAAAGAATTTGAAATTAAAATCTTCTGAAGTTGAGAGTTTATGCATTCTCCTTAGATAAAAATATATGTATGTATATGCACATAATATAATTCTGAATATTCAACAGAAAACAACATATTATTTTCCTTGCTATTTGCCACGTCGAACACCACGAGGTAGTTTATTACTTATGGACGAATGAATAATTATATACGAAATCGATAATTCACTTTGTAACTCCGTTATAAAGACTAAGACTCATCAAATATGGTATTTTCAGAACCACTTTGGTGACCCCTATTGAAATTTTTCCCTTTACCTGTGAAACATCCTGTATAAATAATGAAAATTCAATTTTTCCAAAAACTAGAAATCATTTTGAAAATTTACGAAAGCAATTGGAATAACCGTATGAATGAGAATTATTCCCATTCAAACGAATTATCGTATCTCCTCCCTAACTTATCAATTAATTAATTAATAATATTCAACATCCGAATAGTTTAGAATCGTGTCCAAGTGTGATAACTGAGAAGAATTAAAATGAGAATTAATACTTACGGATGTGATAACACCGAGTCATCACAAATGTAACCCTCTGGGCATGTCAACTGAGTGTTCAGAAGAACTGTAAAAGCACCAGCATTTACGCACGTTATGTAAGTGTTGTTTGAAAGGCATCGTACACTCGTATTCTTACATATCTCTGTAGTAGAATCCAAGTACAGAGCGTCACTAAAGTTGGTGAAAACCAAGAACTGCAAGAATATAATTTGTGTTTTTACTTCATCCAGTTGATGAGCATATTTCAAATACACTTACCGGCAAAAAAAAACCCGCCATCAATAAATTTGCCAAATCGTCCGCCCTGTGAGTTTTTTAATTATTATACGATTTTTGTGAAACTATGGCCAAATCGTATACTCATGTTTCAGAATCATACCGTGAATAGTAGGTCCCGAAAAAAGCTGATGGCATGATCATTATACAGGGAAAAACAAAAGTTACTCTTCCACCCTTAACTTCTTAACGCCCAGTGGCAAAGGTGAGTGGTTAAACTCATCTTCATTATGTTTTGGAATGGAGTGTGATGTCTTCTTTACACTATATGGTGTTTGATTACCGTCGATAACCTTTTTCTGAAGAGGAGATACAAGTGTTTCAAGAAAGTATGTTTTTCAAATTTTCATTAACACTTCTCCAACAATTCTCCAACATGTTGATTCATCATGTTTTGAATTGAAGTGTGATCCTTTTTCGTCCCTTCTTGACACAATGGTTCTTGATTCACGTCAATATCTTCTCTCAAAGAGAATAAGATACAAGTGTTTCAAGAAAATATGTAATTTTTTAATTTTCATTTACAATCATTCAAATGCTCATTCGCCTTCGTTTGGCCTTGTCAGAGACTCTTCAAGAGCTACGATTCGCCCTTCATGAAGAATACTAGGCAATTCTTCAAGACTACTTGAGAAATTTGATCAACCCGATGCCAAATGCTTCAATTCAAACTTGAGGACGGCATACTCGTTATTGACTACAGGTCTGCCTTTTGTTTGTTTGGTTTTTTTCGGTAAGTGCTAAGAAAATGATGTAGAAATAAGTGATATTGATTCTTTGAGTAGTTAATCTATAAGTTTATCTAGGTTCTGATTATTTTTGATAAACATTGAAACATGCCATACTTTCTAAAAACACTCGTATCTTCTCTTGAAAATAAGATACTGACGTGAATGAGGAACTATTGTGTTGAGAAGGGATGGCACTTCAATTCAAAGCATAGTGAAGCCAAGTTCAACCACTTAATTACGCCACAGGGTGTTAAGAAATAAAGGGTGAAATAGCAACTTTGGTTTTTCCCTGTATAATGATGAAGTCATTAGCTTTTACAAAAACTACTATTCAGGCTAATATTTCGGAACATGTATCTACAAATTGATCGAAATTCCACTAAAATCAGACAATGATTAAATAAGTTACAGGGTGAACAATTTCGGAACATTTTTTGGTGGCCGGTTTTTTTTGCCGGTGAGTGTATTTCCCCATTCATTAAAAATACCAACGAACCTGCGAACACTGCGACCTAATAAAGTATCTTTTATGCTCTCCGTAGTCTCCGTGGCTATAGCAATTCCATTAGTTATGGGATGTTCCAAAATTGCTGGGACACAAAGCTACCACATGGAGAGGAGGTCAAAATAAGTTGTTTGGACCCAATTAATTTATGTGCCAAAATGTACCGTTTGTCCGTGAGAAGGGTTCAAAGTGCACACAAAAAAACACATTTTTGTACGCTGTTCAGAAATAAGTGGGACGAATTCGATGAAATTTGGCAATACATAGTGTATTTCAGAGGATTACTTTCCTTTTGGTAATAGAAGAAACCTAAAATAAATTGTAGAAGGGTTAAAACCATCCTCACCCCCTGACATTTTTTTCAGAACTTCTTTAGGGGTCATAAAACGGTTCTGAAATTTTTTGAACTTGAAGACTAATCAGTAACCTTCATTTTATTACTCTTGTAAAAATTTTGTATACTCTGCATAGTTTCTTCGAAGAAAAAAAAATTTCTCCCAGATATTGCTACCAGATATATTAAATTGTGATATAAAACTGAGTTGGCAGTGAAAACAGAACGTTTCTTTATAATAAATGTTCAATATGACTCCCTTCATTAATACAAATAATATCAATTCGACGTACAAAATTGAATTGCATCCTCCTCAGGACATCGTCGTTGTCTCGTAGTGCGTCAACGGCATTTTCGATTCTGTTCCACAGCTGTTCGGAAGTATCAATTCGAACTTCATACACACGCCCCCCAGATGAAGAAGTCGCACGGATTCAAATCTGGAGACCGCGGAGGCCATTGAATAGATGCTTCAAATCAAATCAAATCAAAAATTACTTTATTGTCTGAAGAATGATAATTCCTATTGACGAAGTGAAAAACAGAATAGTAAAAAAGAAAGCATCGATAACAATTGAATATATGCATATTTTTCGTACATACGTCGTTACATATTCCAAAATATAATAAAATTACCATGTCATTCATGACATAAAATTTGTAGAGCAGGTTACTACAGGTCAAATTATTCATATAAATAAAAGTCTATAAATATATACAAAAAACAAATACATAAAATAAATTGCAAACAATATAGTAATGTTAGTTACTAGACGTCAGTTTATTAAGATTGAAGGTGTTATTAATGGTAAAAAGGTATAAATAAAAATGAAGGGGATACACAGAATTCAGATCTTTACAATTAATTAAAATGTGCTAAAAAATAAAATAGAAATAAAATAGAATACAACAGAATAGCACATACAAAGTGAATACCGTTACGTATCAGTAGAATCCAAACGCCCAACAACAAAAAAAATCTAAAATTTCACGGAATAAAATTCGTCCAACGAGTAGAATGCTCTGCCGAGTAAAACATTTCTCACACAAACTTTGAATTTTTTTTTATCCATAATCGTTTTAATTTCGTTAGGTAAGTGATTGAACATTTTTATGCCATTATATATAATGGAGTTTTTTATTTGTGCAGATCTTGGAATTGGTAAAGTTATATTAAGGGTTTGTCTTGTGATATATTGTGCAGTGCCATAAACTCGATCCCTAAACTTACTGTGAATTAGGCATACTGTTTCTAATATATAGATACAAGGCAAGGTCAAGATTCGTTGTTCTATGAATAAAGGCTTACAAGAATCGCTGAATTTAGCTCTGCACAAGTATCTAATTGCCCTTTTCTGCAATATGAAAATAGTTTCGAATAAAAATCCACTACAAGACCCCTACCAATCCATCTATCAGGGAATTGCTCATTCAGATATTATCTTACTGCACGTGCAAAATGAGGTGGTGCATCGTCGTGCATGAAGACCATGTTTCGACGAACATTGAAGAAAGTTAAGGTAACTAGCACCATTAAGGCGAACCAATCCTATCGGCTCAACCGAAAGTTTCGATGAATAAATTTTTTATGTGAACTTTGAACCCTTCTCACGGACAAACGGTACATTTTGGCACATAAATAAATTGGGTCCAATCAACTTATTTTGACCTCCTCTATACACGTGGTAGCTCTGTGTCCCAGCAATTTTGGGACACCCTGTATAACAATCAGGATATATACAGGGTGTCCCGAAATTAGCCTACCAAACTTCACAAGCGGCTTTTACTACCAAAAATGAAAAGGAAACTTTCAATGAACATGAGTCGAGAAATGTCTTCTAAGGGATCTACGGCCCCAGGAAGGGGGCTCCTGAAAATTATATTTCTTGAATATTTCCGAAACTCCATGTAATAAAGAGATGTAATTTGGTACGAGAACTAAAATTTTCATGCCGAATGCAGTGAAAATGAAATTATTCCAAAATTTCATTCAGGAGTGTATAATACAGGGTGGGACTACATTAAATATTGCTCAAAATTCTTTGTATGCATATTCAATCTCTGATTATGAAATTTCACACCTATTTACAGAAAAAAGGTACTCGACAAGATCTTGTTCCGTGACGATCAGATGTACTATTATCGAGTAAAAGTAATTTAAAAATATTGTTATATCTCATATATCATGCCTATAAGATTGCAATGAGGCCTAGTTAAAATGGAAAATAATGCACAAAAATTGAAGCAGTCGTTTCATCATTATTTTCATATTTTTCGAGCCTTTATGAGATTGTTTGGTAAAAAGAAAGTACTTGATTTTTTTAAAGCCACTATTATTTGAGAATTGGCTACGTTATGCATAAGATGTGAGTGTATCAATATTTTTAGATCGATTTTTTTCGAAGATGATACATCTGATCGATGCGGAACAAGAGCATCTTTTTTTGTGAAATGGTGTGAATTTTCATAATCCGAGATTGAATTGTCCAAAAATATGCATACGGAAAAGTTTGAGCAATATTTAATGTAGTCCCACTCCTCTGTATTATACACTCCTGAATGGAACTCTGAAATTATTTTATGTTCACCGCATTGGGCATGGTGAGTTTAGTTCTTGTACCGAATTGCATCATTTTATCACGTGACGTTTCGGAAATATTCAAGAAATATCATCTTCAGGAGCCGTAGCTCCCTTAGGAGACATTTCTAGACTCATGTTCATTGAAACTTTTCTTTCTCTTTTTGGTCGAAGAAGCCGCTGGTGAAGTTTGGCAGGCGAATTTCGGGACACCCTGTATATTGTGGGGTGATTCTAAAAAAGTTAAGTAGGTTTTTTGCCCTTGGGTTCTGTGTAGGGTGAAACATTCTGCAAGTATGTGGATAGGTTTTTTTTCTCTTCCCCACAGAACCTCTTTCTTTTATCACTTGGAGCGCACGATATGGAATTCCTATAATGTTCGAAGTATTCCCAACAACATATAATCTCCAGAAGTTCAAAAAAAATTCCAATACCTACCTCATGTCCCTATCCTCCCTAGGAACGCACGATGTTCTTTGAACATTATAGGGATTTCCTTTCGTACGCTCCAAGCGATTAAAAAAAAGTGAAGGATGCACACCGTGCATTACATACTGTGATTGAAACAATAAGATATTCGACGCCCTTACTTTGCATGCGCCACAATAATATTTCGAATAACAGAAATATAATGAGGTGGAAGATTGAAACGATGACATGTGGCAACTACGAAATTGCCACAATGGTCAATAAGTGGAATGAAATGTTAAATAAATACAAAAAGCTCAGTCATTTCCACACAATGTTCATAAAAATGGACAACAATGGTAGATTTCGGGAGAAAAACAACTACTCCCCTGGATAATGCCACGCAGAACATATTGATTGATTGATTGTCTTTATTACCCCAAGAAACATTATTGTTTATAATAGGGATATATACAACACAACATACATATAAAACATAATAAATCAAAACAATAAAAGTTGCATAATTATTGTTTCTCCTAAAAAAAAAAATTATAATAAAATATAAGATGAAAATATTAAAATCTATTACAAGTAATCAAATTGTGAATGATAAGTACTATTAGAAGATATGGAATTAAAGTTTACTGAGCAGATATTTCTTCAATTTCATTTTAAATTTTTCTGCTTCTTCTATATTTTTCAATAACTCATTAGGTAAAGAGTTATACAAAATTATTCCATTATAGAATATTGATTGTTTACCAAAATTTGACTTATAATTATTTGCTATCAATAAATTGAATTGCCTTGTTTCATGTGGGCGTGAATCGTATTAACTTCATTAAAATTCAAATTCGATATTTTCAATTCCTTCCTGACAAAATGAATAAAACAACAAATTTTGAGTTCATACATGGTTCATATAATGAAACTAGATTCAGCAAGTCTTTAGGTTTGTATAGATTCGCAGTTGATTCTAAAAAAGGTAAATTGAAAATGTAATTTCATGAGTGGCTTCAAACGTGAAATATTTGTACTTCCCCAAATAGATATTAGATATTGTATATTTGAATAAAAAAGACAGAAATAAATACATCCTACCGAAATCTATACATCGACTCCTATAAACGATCGAATACTGATACAAGTGATTCTTTTCTGAATGCCTATTGATTTCGATTAAGCTCAGTCTTTTTTCAAGTTCCCTGGTATTTTGTAGAAAAATATAGTTGGAGACAAGATTATAGAGAACTAGATCGAAATATCTGGATATTATATTTCTCAGGTGTTTTTGGAAAGCTCTCGAGCTGATAATCCTTTCAACAAAAAAAAACACTTCTTGAAAATACCATAGTCTGAATATTTGTTTTTTATATGACGGGAAAAAAGTTAGACATTTTTATCTCTGTTGACAGGTTACAAAATGTCACTTTTCATAAATTACCTTTTTCCCACGGGAAAAAAGAGAATATTTTTTTCCCGGGTATATGAGTGCACTATTGATGGCTTTTTTTGTGCCACTTTCGAAAAATAAACCAATAACCGAAACCGAAAAAGAAATGAAAGTACTTTATCTTCTATCCCACTTCGCGGTTACGTAGTAAACAGCCACTAAGTTCGCAATTTTTCAAAATCAAAACACAGAATCAGACCGACAGATCAATCTTCAAAAGAATGATGAAGATGAAGATAAAACGCAGGTGTAATTCCTGTTGAAAATTTCAAATTGCACGTCGATAATTTTCTGATTTTAATATAATGCAATATTTTTTCCATACTGATTCGTCCCTTTTCCTGTCACAGAAAAAAATAGTGTACAATACACGGTTTTATCAACACAACCTGGAGTTAAAATCCACAACTTTTTTCCCTTGTATGATAGATTACTATTTTTGATGAAATAAATTTCTCAAAATGTTCACTCATACTACAACTTGACACATGTGGTTGAAAGCCAATGATTTTCTTTTAGAATAAGTAATAAAGTCTTTTCGATGTAATACTCACAGTAAATATAACGGTAACTGTAAACATTTTCACGTCTTTCAGAATACTATTCCACATCTATAGGTTTTATATAATTGAATAAGGCATCAATCAATTTGTATAATGAAGTAATTGGGAAATATTTAACTTGTTACTCTTGAATTTTACAATTATTTCCATGAAAATGTATATCATTGAATAAATAGGATCAGACCTGCACTATATAGTTTCCGACAATTTATGTGTATTGTGTCATATACAATCACCATATAACAATAATAATTGCCTGAATTATTTGAATGGCGAATTGCCTAATAAAGATAATATCATTTTTATTACAAAGTTGATTTTCAAGTGGAAAACACAATTATCATGAGAAGTTTTATTCTAGATCCGATTCAGTTGAAGGCACGGAATTGCGAAAGTGAATATAATGCCAACAATAGCACTTCTGGTCACTTATTGATCAGATTAATTATTTTCGATTATTATTCGTCCTTATCGGTGCTATTTTCTACCATGGGATGATGGGATTGTTGGAGAATCAAGTCTAACAAAAGTTGGAAAGTAGATGGATGAAAATCGACCCGAAGTTTTTAAAATAACAAATAAAATCATCGTGGCAGTTATTGAAAAAAACAATGAGACCTAGATTGAATGTATATTCTAACAATATACTTTTGTACAATCTTGTATAAAATGTGTAGGAAAACTAAACAATCGTACTGCATCAATATGATTATTAGTTGACCCAAAAGTTCCAACACATGATGATAAAAATTTGTTAAATGTACAAATCTAAACATTTGTGGGTAAGCGAAAAATATAGTACAAATTCTTTTGATGTCTGCGTATACAAAACCAACTTCACTAGAGAAATTCGTACGTCATGTCGTACGTTTATCTAATTTACGATTATTCCAAACTAAAATAAGAGAATAATAAATAAAATGAAATCAGTGATGTTCATTTTGAAGAGAACATCACTCAGTATAAAAATAATCTGCCATAATATGGATTTGAATTTCGTTTTGTTGACATCTTTAAATACATCTCAGATTTAACACGAATGTTTATACCAAGTAGAAGATTTATGTTTTTTATGTAAAAATTATCATAATAATGATGGTATAATTATCTGAATTCTACAGACAAAATGTACATGCACAATCAAGAGGCTCAAGAAATTACTGTTTTTTTCATATTCATGAAGATGGATAATGCATCAATATTGGTACTTTCACAAATAACAAATCTTGATCTTTTTGAATAATAGTTCATGTTTGAGCTACTTGTTTTATAATAATTTGATTCATTCCATCAACCAAATAGACCACTTGTTGATGAAATAATTATTCAATAATATGTCCATGTAAAGTGTGTGACCCACCAACTATTCTTACCCACTTTTCGACCTTATTTCATGGAATTGTAAATATATGTCAATTAATTGTAGTAATTGAAAAAATAGTGAACCATTTGAGAAATGTATTCTTCAAGAAAAAAACGGTGAAAAAGTAAGCCACAACTGTTGGTGACCCATTGTATATGAACATTGTAATATAAATACCTAAATAATGAATAATCTAGTTTCTAATATAATATAGGAAAAGAAAAATTACTAGATAATATACACAGTGATCCGTTATTAACGGTACGATTCACAGAGACATGATATAATCACACATCCTCATCAATATGCATCTCAAAGTGACGTCAGTCTGTTCGCAGGTTGTTATATTCCTAATATACACAATTTTGTTTACATAAATATTCCGAATGAGGGTAGAACTTAATTTTATTGTTTTTCTTATTCCATACAGTGTCCGTCTGTTCCCCCTACTAATTTTTGAACTATCTCGTATATCGCAACGAAATTTGGAGGGCTTGAGATTTTGAAATGGCAGCAGGGCGCCATTTTGAATTATATTTTTGAATAGAACACTTCGTAAATTATTCCATTTTTGGAAACTCCCCATAATTCTAAACAGTTTCATCTGATACTCCTAAATCAAGTTTGCACTGGAAAAAAAACTACGTTGTAGCGGTGATCATCATTCGAGTTTTTGGTTGGGTTTTAAATGATCAAAATTTCACTATTCAAACTTTAATATTTCGTGTATTAGATGAAACTGTTAAGAATTATGGGGAGATTTAGAAAATGGAATATCATAGGTAGTGTTCCATTAAAAAAATAATTCAAGATGGCGCTCAGCCGCAATTTCAAAACTTTGAGCTGTCGTTTCTTCATGAAAAAGTAGCTTTTCATCTCCTATTATTGTGCCCTCCAAATTGGAGGGCACAATAATAACCAAGTGGTTATAAAATTAGTAGAGAGAAACTTCAGATAGTTAACATCAAAATATGAATATGTAGCCTAACATGCTTTAACTTTTCGATTTTTACTAGCATGAACATACAGATTTTAGTTTTAGGTTCAATGACATGAGAAGTACGAATTTGTAACCTATTTAGTGATTGCTCATAGAGGGCGCTAGTGCGGCCCTGTTACTTCAGTAAACTCTATATCTTATTTTTCTATTGAAAAATATTTAAAATAAGTTGAAAATCTGAGAGCCCGTTAAATGTTAAATAAAAAATTCACACTCTCTTCAATTGTCTAGCTCTAACGGATTATGCGTTTTTTGCCCTTGAAAAGATGTTTTATTTTCTACATTTTTATTATTTTCAATTATTAAGTTAGCGAAGTGACACTGAAAACAATTAGGAAATTTATGATGACTATCACTAACACCAACAAACATATAATTTTGAAGTAAATGGTCGATCGAAATTACTATGAGTAATTTTTAAATATTTTTTTCCCGTGAGCAATATTTTCATAAGGCATACTGGGCTGAATCTGCATATTTTAGTGTTTACTATGTGGTTCAGAGATTGCCCATTCTTAATGAATCACCCTGTATATTGGAGTTACTGTACACATAATTTGTGTTCGTTATTGACTAATCTCCTGGAGACTTCAATTATTAGCAGTTCTTTCTGGACATAAGGAAAACTGCAATTGAAAGACAATGTCTGACCTATTTTACCAAAATTCTTGCAAATTCATGATCAACATGCACAATCAAATCAACAATATTTTAGCCCTGTATGTACACTCCTCAAACTTGTTCCCTCCATGATTCTGCGACCAAAGTGACGTCATGCGCGTAGTTGGACGATTTTAGTACGCGAAACTGACACACCGTGTCTCTGGCAAGAACCCAAATGAAATAAATATTCAGCAGGATTTTCTTCAAAAAGGAAAACTTAAACGAAATCACTAGTGCATCACTGGAAAAACAATATCAAGACAAAGAACTTGTCGGGATTCTAAAAAAATATAATCTTGCCTGAGCATCAAATGGAAATAATAAAGGAAGTACCATATATAATTAATCTAATTTAATATAAAATATGAATATATACAAATATTATGACTGTTTGTTCATCACTACATTCAGGACACAATATCTTTCACTTCATATTGATAAAGTAACGCAACCATATTATCGATAATCATAGATTATACGAAATCCTGTTTTCTAAGAATGTGGGCTATACGACACTACATTCTACATTGATATTTACAATAACAGATATAGATTTCAAAAATAAAAATGAGTCATCAACCTAAAAACCATAAAGACTGAAGTTAAGTAAGTGTTTGCCTTATATCCAAATACATGAAGGTGTAACAAGTTTGCTTTTCGCCACTGATGCATGGGATCCTAAATATTTCAATATGTGATCTCAAATTGATATTGATATGATGAATAATGACAAGACATTTTTTCCACTTACTGTAATTTTCCCAATTGTGACTTTCGGACGATAAAATTGACAATTTCATTGAAAATGGATTATTAACAATCCAAAATTCAGAGAGTAGAAAGTTGTACGACTAGTAGTACCTGCATTTTGTTGGTCGGTGTATACACACCATCACCTCTGATGAATGATCATTAATAAAAAATGATGGGGAAATTTCAAAAAGCGAAAAACTGGATATCATATAGAAAATTGAGCTGACATCTTGCAGTTGAGCAATAGTGACAATAGGAATCTGGATTCCATTTGTTTGGAATGACCTTCTCAAATGAAGTCAGGAACAAGTTTTGAAGAATTTTCGGAATATAGGTTTTTTCAAAAATCTCTCAAACTAGCCAACGTTTTCTACCAACTACATAACTCTCATGATTTACGAGACCCAGATGGTGAAAAGCGAATTTGTTATACCAGTAGTTTTCCATATGTGCACCAAACATTCATTCCAAAGAGTTCCTTTCCATTAAGTATTGTATAAAAAAAAAATGTAATTTCTTGAACCACACCAAGTACCAGTACAGACTACCAAACCTTTACAGAAATGCCATTCAATATTTCCTCCCATTGTGCAACAATCATCAAACATATATGTGTTCTTCCCCACAAAACATGATAAACAAATTCAAAGAGTTATTTATTCATCTATTTACACATCAAGGGCCAAATTATCGACTTTTTAAATAAAATTCCTATGGGAATAATGAAAGTATATCACTGGAGACCATTAGAGCGAGACTTTTGTTTGAATAAAGGAATAAATTCGACAATCAGGTCCCAAGTCATGAAATATATCTATTCCTACACAAGAAAGCAGTCAAATTGAAGAATAATATCGTCTGAAATCCCAGAAAATCGGTAAAGTTACATCAGTATTGTGAACGTCAAAATCTCTCTAGTCAAGAGTCAAACTATAACATCCCTGGTGGATTATTATTTAAGCCGCTTTAGTCTTTAATTTTGCAAAAAATAGCAGCAATTTTCATTGCGCACTTACCACCTACGCACTAGATTCATTTTGGACTACTGTCCCAAATTGGGACAGTAGTAGTCCTGAACTTGCTTGCAGGAGATAATTCTAGTGAAAAAAAGTGATTTGTTCTACCCAACTCCAAAAATTATTAAGAGGCAAATTTCAGATACTTAGACAAAAACACATTATAAACTGGTCATTTCGATTCAGTGCAAAGTAGCCCGTGTTTAATTACTAATTGGAAATATTTCAACTATAGAATCATGAGCTCAAAATA